TTTGGTTCAATGACAAGACCCTCGATGGCATAAGGGAAGCCGGGCTGACTTCATGGCAGAGGAATTCAATTTAAAAGGCCAAGAGGACGCACCACATAAAAAGCAAGTTTGTAAAGAAAAGTGATATACTCTTGGTTTTAGCAGAAAGGTACAAATTAGACTAATTAGGCTAATACTTGCAATTGAAATGTATTTCTGCATTGCACCTCTCAATCAGTAAAGACGAGCCCTTACTACACTGATATTAGTCTGACACAGACTACAGCATATTTAAATGATATTATGAACTCAGTCTTTAATCCCGTAGTAAATCAAAGCATTTTAAATCGTGGCCGAATGGAATATGCTAAGCATTTTGTGTTTAGGTTAATATAATGAATCCCAAGTCAGTTATGACTGCAAGTTGCCACATATATACCATGATGGCTAATTGTAAATCCTAATACAATTCCCACTGCCTTGTCAAATCACGGCAAAACTGTCACACTTGTTGACAGTTTCAACAATGAGGTCAAGCAGTGAACAGTGCCCAGGAATGAACTGCTTTACCTCCAGAGTGGTTACTGCAGAAGCAGGGGAACAGCCAGTACAGTAACAGCTCTGCCACTTTTTGCAACAGATTTTATCAGGGACTGTCACTCTGCAACCTTGCCTGAGCATCGCATTCTCATGCTGTTTTATTTGTAATTACATTGGCTGAAAAGATGATTTTCTAATAGGAAGTAAAGGATAACAATCCAGCGACCTTAAAGAACTCTCTTACATTACCAACTTTGCTTATATTTTGAAACAAAACCTAGAATAGCCAGGATTTAAAATGAAGCATTTCTTTTAAGTTAGAAATAATAATTAGAGACCACTTTGCTCTCAGATATTCTTAGACAGATGAAATTGACCTATGGAAAATGATTGCAGAACCCAAACCGATGTATGATCCAGAACACCCAAATTAAAGTTTCCAGTGCTGCACTGAGTCTTATTTTGAAAGTGCCTACTGTATGTTACAATATTCTACTATTCCTTCGTGTAACTTAACATGTGAAAAGGCTCTTCCTTCAGCTTACCTTGCATATCCCATATGAATTCTTCAAAACAAGATTCAGCAAGGATCAAATGGACTGCACTGAATTATTTTTATTATGTTTATTAACCAACTGAGATGAAAACTGTTCTCATGGATGAAAAGCATCAAAATTCTCAATTACAAATGCATTTTCTAATTACTATTTGATATTGTTTCCATATGTCTGAAAAAAAGGAACTGACTGAGTAATTGACTAAGCAGTTACCTGGTTTCAGGGGATTTGAGTCTCCGTCCTTGTAATTCAGTGGCAGAACTCTAGCTGACTTAAAAACCAATGATAGCTTTATACACTTCTACTAGTTCTACTAAATAGAAAAGTCCACTTCTGTGTAACTCTTCAGGTCAGGAGGACTGCACCTGAGGCAGCAGATCTGAACATGTTTGGTTCCTAGAAGGACATTAATCTAGAGGATTCTGATTTCATATAGTACATTCAATTAAGTAATTATAATCACAAACAACACTATATTCTATGAACTACTAACTGAAGAAGCAGAAACGTCAATGTCAGAGTCATCTATGAATGTATGCCAGATCAGAACTCCAGTCTGCTTTACATTCCTGCTGACAGTTCCCATAATGAGCATGCAGCATTAAATAAAAACCATGACCTGTTTAAACAAAGATCAGAGCACCAGCTTTATCTTTGCACTCTCTAATGTTTGTTGTTTGGCATCACAAACTAACACCAAAGCAAGTCTCTTGTCAATAGCAGCCCAGAAGGTTTGCATACAGGGCATGAGGGGATGGCTCTTGTCCACCAAGAACATTTGTGTATCTTTAAAATGGGCATTTTACTTCACACGGAGATATACAGGTATTCTCTGCACTTTCTCTGCTTTGAATTATACCACAGGAGATCAGGAAGAGAAGGAAGGAGATAGGCGGGATAATGTACAACCAAGAAATTTTAAAGATTTGTTATGTCTCAGCTTGAGACAATGAAACAAACCTCAAGAGCCAAGCTAAAACTGTTCAAACATACCGTTGAAATTTCATGGATAGCAACTAATATGAATCAGTTCATATACGTATCATGCATGGGAAAACAACTACATTTAATAATTTCAAGGAAATGCATAAACGAATAGAAATCAGCACCCCCATTTTTGTAGTACACTACCAGAGAATTTACAGTGTCTGGCATCACGAAACAGTTTATTATGAATAGGTGCAACACAGATTGCCATTTTACAATGACTCCGTATCTGGTCTTCTCAGAAGATGCATGATTTTTTTGGTAGTCAGATTTCAGATGCACACTTTTAAAATGCAGCCTTACATTGTAAATATCTACCTCAGAAAAACTGAGAGTTCACTTCATCAGAAGCCAATTGAGAAGTTTAATAATCATGCCAAGTTATCAATTTATCCAGAATATCCAAAGCTCATTTATACTAGTCTAAATTAACCACAAAATCCCTTAAACTGAAGTTGAAATGGCTATCAATACCATACATTATCTCTCAATGATAAAATTGTCAAGATACAGACTGCACAAGCAGGAATATTCAACTATTGATCTTCCGCCAAAGAGAATGGAACGTTTAAAATCTGCCCAGTCTCTTCACGTTTCCCATCCGTCCCCTCCGTGTTACCCACGGACAAGCACACCCATTTATAAATGTATTCCACATTACCCACCTGAAAGTGGAAGACAGAAAACGCTAATCCTAAGAAAGCAATTAAAAGAACTGAAATCTCTATCTAAACGTCTCCAATCTTTTCTTTCTTTCTTTCTTTTTTTTTTTTTTTTTCTGCTGCTTTGAGCGTGCTGGATACCAAATAACAGCGCAATAAATTACACGCAAATCGGCATGAATCCTACCAAACTTATCGAGCGGTTTCCTCCCGGAACAAAACTTTGGAGGTCACTCAATCCTCTCCTACGACAAAGGGAAGTTCTTCCTCTTCCATCACCCCTTCCCCCGGCTATGCGAGGGGAAACTACCGGGGAAGGCGCGCACGGCTTTTCCACGGGGGCTTCCTCCGCGGTGTTGGCTGGTGACACTGAGCACGGCCGGGGGGATGCGAGGGACGGGCGGCCGGGGCGCCCGGGGGTCCCAGCCCGGCCTCCGCGGCAACTCTGCGAACAAAGTAACTTCCCGGCTGGGCGGCGGAGGGGCACGGCGGGGCAGCGGCCGCCCTGCCCTGGCCGGGAGCGCCGGTACAGCCGGGGAGAGCAGCCCCCGAGGGGCAGGCAGGGTCCCCGGAGCGCGGTGCCAGCCCTTACCTTGCTCCGCGCCCCGCTCCGCGCGGCCGGCGGCGGCAGCGCCGCGGGGCCGGGGCACGGGATGGATGCTGCGAGGCTCCCGGCGCCTCTCCCTCCGCCTCTCTCCCGATCCTCAGAAAAGCCCT